AGTTTCGGAAATTGTTCTAAGACGATAGAGCGCCACGCCTGGCCTCGAAACGCCGCCACGTTTATAGGGTTTAGGTTCTAAACTTTTGGACGTTCACGCTGAGCTAGGTTTCCAACTTTGGTATCCGAGTTGTAGCGGGTTTGTATTTGCACAGTTACCTATTACCTACGTTTGCAACTGACTTGTTTTAGACAACATGCCATGCTGAGAAGCATTGCGGGGCTGCCTCAAAGTCACTGCCACTCTAAGTATCGCACAGTGTTGCGCACAAACATGCAACACTCCTCACTTCGATCGGCCCTTGCCTTTGGCAATGGCCGGACCTTTTCCCTTAGCCTTACCCTTGCCTCTACCTTTTCTGGACAAAGCGAGTGTTCTGGGGATTCCATCAGCAGCAGCAAGGGCTTTGGAGGCAATGTCCAAAGCTTCTGCCCAAGGTACTCCCTGCATCCAAGCGGAAGCCGCTGCTCGGTGCACGATTCTGACTTTGGCCCTCTTGGTGTAGGACTTGACCAATGCCAGTTTCTTCTCGGGCGCTTTCAGCCTTAAAGCGTTTCAACACAACTCTTATAGCGGTTGTCTGGCAAACGTGCAGGAAAGCAATGTTGGGATACAGACTTTTTTGCTGAGACGCTAAATAGACCTGTATAGGTAGCATCCCTAACTAAAGCCTTGAAGGAACGAACTTCAATTTACGGACTTTATGGCGTTCGCTAACTTTTGTCCGTAACTGATTTCATTGTTAGATTAATTTTCTTGGAAAGGGTTGACAACGGTGGGGCGTGGAACCAGATCATCACGCACAGAACACACACCGGAACAATTGCGGAAGAAACAAACACTGGAACTCTATGTACCAAAGCCCACCGCACTGGAACCGTATATCTGGCCTGCTAGGCTAACGCTGTTGGAGAAAAAATGCATCAGAATTTGATTGCGCTTTTTTGGGGTGAAATTCAGAAACACTTGTCAGCCCAGTGTCGGGTTCCTTCGACCCCGCCATGTCTTCACACAAACACCGAAACAACAAAAGAATATCGCGAAAGCCAAACAACTTCAAGCGATTAGGTGGGACTGCAAAGTCGTCTGGTCGCTGAGCAAACATTGGAGGCGCTGCAGCAGCTGAAGGGCCGGACATGATTTGTACCCTCAGATGAGAAAAGCGGTCGAAGCACCGACGGTCAGTCACTGAAAAACAGCGCCACTGTTGCAATCAACGACTTGTACATACTTGTACAAAAAAAGTGGTTGAAAGTTGAAACAGTCGATCACAGAAAAACTCCCGCAGCACCATTGTTACAAATCTTTTGAACAATAACAGAAACCAAGAAGCGCACTGATATCCAAAAGTGGGTAGTCTTGGAGCGTCCCGCCAATCCAGCCTTCCAACCAATCCGCCGCACGCTCCAATTTGAAAATGGGATTGCGCAGCAGCGGGAGGTACTTCTTCACGTGATCAACCAAGTCTTGCGCCAAAGACTTGTTTTCTGCCAAACCTCAGAATAACACCACATAAGTTTAAAATAAGAGTCCCAGTTTTCTGCCACCCACGGCCAGCGGCGGAACAAAGCGACGCTGTTAGATCTCTATATTTCAAATGCCCAAACTTCGTCAACCAGGCCACACAGCTTCCCCTATCCAAAGATGGACGGGTCAAATTTAATGGGTTCCGTTCCAAAGCCACCACTCTCAAGGTTGACACCATTTCTGGCTTGATAACATCACGCAAAAGGTTACGTTTGTGCTTTTATACTGACACGTTTCCGATCAAAAAACGAGACCCAACCACACCACTTTCAGCGCAGAAAACCTGCAGGCAATCCAAGTGGAAGCAATTGCATGGCAACTTCCTTGGGGTAGAACAGAATGTTGAAGCTAAAGTGCTCGCTGTGCAGCCAACGCTTCGTCCTGCAAATGGATTGTTGGGACCCACAACCAGGAATCTTAAATGATTCCTGAAACAAAGAAATATGATATCGAATCATGTAGAACTGCAACAAATTAAAACCAGATTGGTTTTAACATGATTTGTATTGCGCCACTCTGCAATCTTCCAATCGCAAAGGCACTGAGTCGCATGGTTCAGGTGTCGTGTAAGAAAGCAAACACTGGACAAAAGGACGCATTGACAAACCCTCAGAATCAGGCCACGCAACGTGCAGGGATCAATCACTGCGCAAGGATACTCTTGAAGCAAGATTTTGCAAAGAACATTGCAAAGAAGTTTCTCACGGTTTCAGGGTCCCCTGCAGCAGGAAATCCCAAAGCGCAAATGGAGCAATCTCATGAACCTATTAGGACCTGTTTGACAAGATGATACTTCAAGATCATCTTCTCGCAGGATCTGCAAATAGAAGGACAGTCTTGGAAGCTCTTCGAAACGCATTCCAAAAGCACAAACGTAAATGCTAAGAACCCTGCCTTACTGAGAACTTCTTGGTATGGAGCACACTGTTTGGGGAAGTTCTCCCATCACTTGCTTGCTGCGAGACAGCTTTCAGAACCAAACGCTGGCCTGAGCAGCACGTCGTCACAGTGTTCACCTGCTTTCTTCCAGTAGGAGTCATCAATTTGGTCATTGCCTAGTCCTGCCAGGTCAGACAAAGACCCAAAACTTATTCGGTACAGTCCTGCGTCTGCTCGTCGTTGCAAAAGAAAGTGATGCGGTGCCCCGGGGCCAGTCATACCCATCACGGCGATGGGAACGGCCGCTGTGTGGAACCCTTTCCTCAAGCATTCCGCACCAGGCTCACTAACTTGAAAGTAACTAACACTATTCAATGGCTTCAGCGTTAAGCCACTGTGTAGGTGCGGGAATGGCGCAGAAAACAACAAACCAAAGAATTGCTTCGCAGTTCAAGCACCAATCACGCGTTCTGTTCATTGCAACAACGACCCTCTCCTTCTCGAAGAACTTCCCTTGGTCAAGAAAAGCTCGAATGCAAGCCACTGTGTCGTCAGGCGACTGCAAAGTTTTCCAACGGAGCAGGAACTGTGAGAGGCGACCGAAATGTTGGTCGATATCTTCATGGGAGTGTCCACTCCTCAAGCAACTCAGCGAGGCGCTCCTGACTGTCCGAGAAGAGACCAATGAAGTCAACCAACGAAGCATCATCGAATTTTTGCATTCGCGACACGTGTTATCTGATTGAATGTTTATATGCATCGAAGGTAGGTCGGCACCTTGACGTCTCATCAAGGTCAGCGTATGGCTCAATACCTCAATGCTTGTGTTTGAATCTTTGTGTGTCTCGGGCGGTGTCACCATGAAGAGCACACTCCATCCATGGGCGATTGCTGCCGAGATATGAAGGCGAGGTCTTTGAAATGAAGCAAAGTCTTTGCTCCGCATGGCTTCATGCCGAGGAAGCGAAAATTTCGATTGATCCATTCCATCTGTTATGATGGTCACAGACGGAAGGGATCTGTCCCTGCTTTCCGCTCTTGTACTCCAGTACACAACACGGTCTGCATATTGTTGTCGAAGGTGCTCGTAATACAGCTTCTGCTGGGCTGCGCGCGCCAAAGCATGGCCAGAAAGGCCCCGCACAAGGGCACGGCGCCTAATGCAGGTTCCACATTCATGGTGCTGCGACACAGGCCTAAAGGCCATGCCAGGAAACTCGCTCAGCCACACCTAAGCAGCAAATTGATGGGTTGGCTCGCTGGACCCATGGAGACATGAGAAGCCATGACCCGAGACCAAAACATACCAAACAACTGCCCAACTTTCCTTGTACTAGTACGGGGCACGCGCCAAAAGGTCGGAAAGCTGGCTGGGTTCTCGAGATGTGAAAGCAGCCTATATTGCTCCCAATGGTCTCGCATGCAGCCCGGTGGGAGACATTTTTTCTCCATGTTCGCTCTTAAGGGGTTTATTTCCACCCCCCTCTTTTTTGATCGTTTCTTCTCCGGCTTGCCTGACAAGTTTTCCTGCTGCGATGTTTCCTGTCCAGCTACCATATCCACCAATGTTTTTGCGTAAGGATCTTCATCGGTCTCAGCACCTGGCGCTTGTAACTTCAACTCCTCTGCAGTGCTCAGAGGATCGTCTCTGACGTCTGGCAGCGTTTCAGCTGTTGAGATATAGAGGTTGCTGAGGAAAGAGACAACATCAGCCCGAGTTTCATGGCTTCTCTCTGAGACACGGGGTTTGGACAAATAGCGCAAATCTGTTGGAGGTGTTGTTGCACCGTTCAGTGCTGCTGCGTGAAGTTTCCCGAATCTCCGTTTGCCTCACTGAGTTCCATGAGGCCTGAGGGTGGTAAGAAACTGCTTTAATGAAGGGCATTTGCTTGTTGCAAGAAAACATATCAATGTGTACATGAAAAATTGGCAACGCCCATCTATCTAGACTCTAGACACCGAACCCATCTTACCAAGGGCAAGGAAAAGATACCCGTTTGAATCAAAGCCCAGCTGCCGAGGGCGTGTAGCTTGATCCAAGATTTCAAGCACACCCTATGCCCCAACAGAATCCAGGACACAGGATTCTCACCTGCTTCCCTCACAAGGTCACGGATCTTTTGCAATACCTGATCCCCACCCAGGAACGAGACCGCTGGAAACAAAGAATGAAATAGAAAAGAATAGACAATAACGACATCGAAAGCAAAGATCTAGGAGCTAAATGGTCTTGGTCCAATTTGTGCAGGTTGTGGAGTTCACTTCGATAACTCAGCAGATTTGAAAAAGCATCCTTCTCGGCAAACTGACGCATACAGTCACGCTTCTTGCATTTGCACCGGCCGGACAGAGCTTTGCGCAGACATGCTTCCACATCAACTGCAGAACTGGAGCGCTTCCGGGTTCGCTTCCCCTTCGGCGGGGGCTCTGGTAGAAAGTCACCTCCTTCTTCAACATCGCTTTCCGAGAGTGCACTCACATTGCCCACCGGCATCGCTCATTGCACTGCTCATTTTTAAGTCTGCCCGATCACATTTGCCGTTCTGAACTTTGCAAACAACATAGAAACCACTTGGTCTCACTTGGTCTGATAAAAACAAGTACAGTATAACACCTGAACAGAAAACTTGAATGTCATTTCCCCTCAAAATCATCTCGGCAAACGAATAACCATGAGGCAATCATGATGTGTGGCACAGTTGACACGAAAATGATTCTTGCCAGGACTATGGCCCAGCACGTGGTCAATCTTGGAACTGCAAGGATCTGGCGTAACCTACCGCGACAGCTTTTCAGCCTCACAACAACACTCAGGACACCGGTGGTCTGAGTCGCTTCCAAAATTGGCTCAAGGCTGTTCACGGAAAAGGCGGACAAACCTGGAAGGCAAAGGTTTTCCCGGACGAAAGAGACCATGGTGACAAACTGAAGTCAACAGTCAACCCGTCTTACTTGAAATCAAGCGCTGAACACTGCCTACTACTTACAAATCCAATGGTTGGAAAATGTTAGAGTTTCATCTAAGAAGCCATGAATGCATCCAGGAGAGACTCATACTTCTGGACGGGGATGTGCATAACCGGACACTGCACGATGTCGCATCCAAGTACGTATGGGTCAGGTGAGTCGTTTGGCTGCATGTTCGGATTCGGAATCAACACGATCCGATCGTTGGACTCAGCATAGAATTTGCGGCACGCAAACACGATCTTGCGGGAATCAGGAAAGCACTCCTCCTTTGAAGTCTCCGGGAACGCAATTGCGTTGCTCCACAAGACCCTCAGCTTGAAGGTGGCCAGTTACAAAATCCAAAAGGCCAAAAACTGAAGTTGTAAATTTGCAAGTTTCACTCCCGCAACAGGATGAGGAACAGTGTTCAGACTAGAAGCAGGACTGTCGGACCTGGAGCCTCTGGGTCTGAGCCCTTGTCCCCATACAAGTGAATGCAATGTTGGACAGAGAGATCCGGACATTCACCTGGGCAAGGCGCCCAAAACTATACCCGTGAAGCTTCCACTCAACACGCACCCGCCTTCAACCAGGCGGCCAAACGCAAGGATGATCTTGTCTTTCTCGATGACCTCCTGGCTGAGAGTGACTGTAGCGCTGTCAAACTAATTTAATGTGGTCCGCTGAATGATATTAAACTCAGGTGCGCCAAGGGTGTGAATTGAGTCTGTCACAAACACATCCTCAAGAACGCGTCGAGGGAGTCGAGGGGCAACGCGGGAAGCGTGTTCAAGTTCAGAAGGACCGGAAGCAACTCGCTCCAAGCCTTTCAAAACACATGGCCGTTGGACGACCAACCATGCGAATCGTGGGAAGTAAAAAAGAAGTTTCGAGGCAGCACGTATTTCATGTTCATGCTGGAGATGGAGAAAAACGTTTACTTCCCAAAACAATCGTCGTTTATTTCCACTCATCAACTCACGTAGTGTGTGTGACGCTTTCTCAGTCAATCAGTAGGCGAAACATGTTGAAACAAACCGTACAACACAGTGCAGAATCTGTCAAATTCGCCTGCCCGGGCCCGACGCGACGGTCTGGTTGGCATGGTGGGTAAACGGCTGCCTCTCAACTGGCTACGGCAAAACGGCCAAAAAGCTGCTGGAAGTGCACACTACCGGCTTCTAAGCAATTTGTCGACTCCCAAGCAACAGCATCCTATCAGTCAGAAATGCAAAAACTCAAATTAGGTGATTGAGCATCATCGAGAATAGTTCCAGTAAGCACACAAGAGATATGAATATCTGTTTTTCAACGTTATCTCCAGGAAAATCCTTTTAGCATCTTTTAGCTCTGATCGTTAGGAGTCATTTAGTTAGGCGACCCTCCGGTGGAATCGTCTCCCTGCTTGGCAAACATGTCTGTAGAGTCAAAGGCAGCTGTGGTTCCCTGTGGGCACAGCATGTTTTGGTGAGAAATGAAAGTACAAGCATTCTCTAAAAAAAACACAGCCGACATCAGAAGTCCATCGAGATCATCAGGCGGCGGCGGCAGGCCACCAAACTTCTGGAGGTTATTAAGTTGGTTGTATTTCCGCACGCTCGTCATGACTTGCAGAGCTTCTGGAACCAGAGGCTCCAACATTTGGAAGACTCTCTCACTGTAGAGGATGCTGCACAAAGGGCTCGGGGCTGGAGCTAACACAGAATCCACCAGTGCTTGAGTTGGAAATGCAAAGTTCTGGGCACGAATCTGGATGGCACACCACGCAGCTTTGTAGACCTCCTCAACGCAAGCGGTTTCAGAGCTTCGACACAAGCTTTGCAACAGCCGAGTCATACACAGGAGAAGCGATTCCACCCGCTCGAATCCAGTCTCAATTGAAGTTTCATCATCCCGCGCCCATCTCAAAAGAAGGAAAACCAAATTGGAAGAGGTCTGGGTCTCCATCTACCGCAGGAAAGGGGATGCAAACTGAGCCAAGCTGCCATGGATTGGCTGACAAATGGCACCGAACAAAATACACAAGATTTCCAACTTCACACAGAAATCTTGAGTGACTGCCTACAGTAACATGCCCTGCTTCGATTGATTACACCTTTGGAGAATTGACAGTGATGTATCTCTGGAGACCTTCAGCAAAACAAATGCCCCAGCGTTGAACACCAAAGAGAAAACAACGGCAGTCTAGAAGTGTGAGCACTTGTGCACACGCAAAAAACATCAGAAATCTTTACATCTCCACAGCAATCGCTCAAAGCGAGGGCCTGTTGCGAGTCATCAACAGGGACGCAATTTGAATTAAAGAACTTCAAAGCTGCGTGACATCAATGATACACACACACACAAAAAGCAAAAAGTGACTTTGCCCAATAATTGAGCTGGCAAACTTGTTTACAACAGGTATGATACACCTTACCAATCGAACACACAACTCATATTGATGCCCGCTCCCTGTACATTCGGAGCAAAATCGGAAAGGCTTTCTGTGCCTGCTGGGGCACCACAATGTTCCCAAGGCTATGCATGCGACTTACATCCTGTGGCCTCCTCTCTTTCTCAAGCCACGTCACCAATGGCTGCTGATTGAGACGGTTCCAGCATCTTGGTAGAACTTGCTGCAACGGCTTCAGCTCCACGTCCTCCAGAATGTTAGTCTTGACAAGTTGACGTTTCAGATTCATGGATCGCTTCACACATTGAAATCAGCCCATGGCCTTCCACAACACTGTTCCTGGCTTCATGGCCAAGAAAAAGACACGTGCACGCTGAGCCTCACGCACAATTAACACGACTAAAAAGTACCTGAAAGCTAGGTCAAAAAAATTGCGGCAACCACTTTCATTTTGCAACACACAAGGTTTGGCAACAAGAAGCAGGTAGGCCGCAATGGGCGAGTGAGATGGTGCTCCACGTGAGCAGAAGTCCTCGAGCAGCACACTCCTGACAGGAAAGCAAAGAGACTAACAGTGATGGAGCCGACGGCTCAGGTCCTGGATGATGTACCAAATGATCTTCCGCATGGAAGCCCGCGAGCCAAGGATTGAGGCTACATTCTCGAGGTAGAGAAACAAGCTCAGCCCAACAAAAAGCTGAGTATCACGCAATCACAAAGAAGTTCAAATCACATTAAGCGATTTCAAATGTCTCAGCCCGAGGCGGGTTGTCCAAACGGTCGTAGACTTGGAAGCTGTACTTCAGCAAGTTGGTTCTGGAATCGCGCAATCCTTGTTGGGAACCAGCACAACTCACGCCCTGCCAGCCAATTAAGCCCACGAGGATCAGTCATTGACAGGTCTCACAGCTGTAGACTGTACACATCAACAAACACTTTGTGAACAGCTGGCACAACACCGTGCGCCTGGCATGGAAACCCTCCTCCGACGCCAGTAGCCCATTCGTGCCCCGAGGCCCGCGGATCATAAACCCTCACATCAGTGGCAATGTCTGCAGTGTGCAAACACTTGTCCTGCATTCTAGCACGCAGGATCCGATTGCAGTGCTCCGACGCTTCAACCTAAGAAATCAAACGTTCGAACGACATAAAACCAATGAGAAAACAAAGTTCCTGCAGAAGCCTGCGCGCGTGACAAAGGAACCATGTCTTCGACAAAAAAGCATCGAATGTCACCTGGGCTCATTACGTAGCAGATTGGGTACATGTACCTAGGCAGAAGTCCAGCCCAATTGTTTAAAAGTACGTAGTGCTCTTTTTCACAACCAGCAAAACAACTTCAAAGTGATCCGTGGGAGAAGATACCCAGCAAAACCGTTCACTTGCAAACTTGGTCTTTTCGGTCGGTCGCTGTCAACGTTGATGGCTCCAACCTTTGGTCAGTGGTCGCGTCTCTTCTTGCCAGAATTTGAAGGCTCATCCTCAGAAACATTCATCTTGCTGCTGAAAACTGTAGAAATCAAGCACATGAGTTTGGAAAATTTTTGGCAATGTTTGCCACTGTCACAATAAACACTGCGCTGGACCGAACTTTTACTACCTGGCAACTGCAGCTGAAGCTCCACCGGCTGTTGCTGCTGCGCCTGGATCTGCTGCTGAGTAGACGGCTGGGATTCTATCCACGTCTTGTCGGTCCAAGACCATTGCCACCTGACTGCGCACTTCCAGCACGACAAGCATGAATTCGATTCATTCTGAGGCGCCAGCAATTGCCCCTGCCAGCGGCAAAAAATCGGAGTTCCTGTGCGCACCCTGCAGGAGGTGAGCGTGAACCACATTAAAACGTCGAGCGGGGTATGCAAAAATCCAAAAACAAGAACGCTTTAAATATTGCCCGCCGGCCTGATCTGATTGACCCCAACGCATCTCACTGTCGACCAACCAACAGCCCAGGGCTGCTGCGCAACAGCATCAGTCTTTACACGCGACATTGCGGAGTGACAGACTGCACGGTGCAACTTCAGGTTCATTCGATTGTTAAAAACTTAACCCACTCAATCCCACTCACGAAAGTTTGCGTGACACATGTAATAATCAGCCATGACAAGTTTAAAGTCACGATGCATACTGCTCACTGCTGTTGCGAGGCTGCTGCTGAGAAACAGGTCTGTGAAGCACTTGATCTTCCAACCCGTGCACTCTGGAAGGTTGAAAACTGACTTGAACTGAGGGCCCTGCTCCGACAGTCCAAGGTCTAATCCGCCAACCCCTGAAAATAGGCTTACCATCGGCTCCTTCCCAACCTTGGCCCAAACCAGGACAAACCCAATGTTGGCCTGTCCATCCTGTTTCCAACCATAAATCAAAACTGAGCACAAGGCTTTGCACAACGAGTTGGGCCACATGGCGTTGAAATCCTCAAGGTTCACTGAGCCCGGCTCAGGCGAAGTCCAACCGCGACACAAACCTGAAAGCAACCCCGAAAAAAGGAGGGAAGTTTAGGAACATCATGGAACATCCTTCCCTGCCTGAAAACCACTCTCCCGCAGCCACTGTCAAGAACCTTCCTGGTTCATTGCCTTTCTCGACATGAGCTCGGTATTCAGCGCTGAACTTCACCTGGTTCCCCAAGTCCTGGCACGTGAGAGGGTAAAAAAAAGTTTCTTGGCTGACCCAAACTGTGTCCCCGCACCGTGATGCCACGCGTGCTGACTTCATCCGAAGAACAAGCTGTGGTAGTGCCTGTGAAGCAACCTCAAGAACACGTCAACAATCTAGAATCTAGAAGCAACGTGATCACGATGGCTGAACTGAGTGTGTGGCGAATGGAGCTCCAACTTTTCATCCGTTTTTTCCCTGTAAACAACAGGGCACCGTTTCTTTTGACGCCCTTCTTCTTCGCGGGCGCTACCTCATGAAACTGAATGGAAGTTGCAGTACTGACCGTTGAGGCTGCAAGAAGCACTGAATCCGTGAGAGTCTGACTGAGCCCTTGGCAACTTCCATGTTCAAAGCTGGGGCCTTCTGAAGCTTCAGTCGGTATGGTTGCACGGACAAAGACCGCTGGGTGATCCCTCTCGCCAACGCAAAGTGCGGCAAAGTTTTGCCCTTCCACTGCAAAATGGAGCGGGCGTCAACAAATCCTTCCTTCACGTTTTTGGCCTTGCAATGAAAGTGATTAAACGCATCATGCGTCGTACGGTATCCAAAAAAATGCTCGAATTTACAGTGCAATATACTTATTACTATGAACAATGACAATCAGAGATTGAAGTCAAACACCAACCTTCTTGATGGACTTCTTAGGCGCCTGCCACCCCGATTAAAAACGGTTTCCTCCAATGCAGCTCCACACTGAACAATGGCCTTTCTTCCCCGCAAAGTAGTCTTCATGGCCAGCTTCCGTTTGAATGCCTCCCACAAAGTAAATCAGGAAGACAGTTTGACCCAGACCTTCAGTATTGAGCCCTTTCCGCCTTCTTTTTGCCTTGTTTTTTGACTTGGATCGGCGCGGTCTCCTTTCGCGCAATTGATTTTGCTATGGTGTTTTGCTGCACAGCTGCAACTTATGGATGTTGCCATGTCCAGTACGTATTGCTGAGTCCTCAACAAGGGTCTGGCCCTGAAAGATCTTGGACAGCTTGAGGCATCTCAAACCGACCCACACTCTGGAACGATGTGAGGTCTACTACGCTCCGCTTGAACTTGGGAGCGTCAAATTGACTCAAAGTTTGGAACGGTGTGACGTCTTAAAAATCAACGACCGGCGCGAGTGAAACGTGCAGCGCGAAAGAATTAGATTTTTTTACACACAAAATCTTTTGCTGCAGGCGTGTCGTTGAAGGCCAAACATCTGCCACTCTCAAGTTCACACTGTTGTTTGGCTTTGGGTTCCAAAATCAAATGGCCAAAATCAGCTTCGAAGCAGGCCTTTCTCATGTGCTAGGGACGGGAACGAACTTGGTCCAGGTCACTGGGCCCATTTTAACCAAATAGTGAAACCGGTTGACAGAAACCACATTTTTTAAGTGCCAAACGTAAGTTTTTGCGTAAGGAAGCTCCTCCATCACCGGGATCTTGTGCATGCCCTGCATCTCATTAAGCTGCTCCAAATTCACCTCCTCAACCTTCTCGATTGAAGCATAGCCGAGAACGATGCCATGGTGCCCAAGCCACGTTCCCCCAAGTCTCGTTTTGCTCCCTCTCACTTCGCACACTTTACCCCCATGAAGAATTTTCTTCAACCAAAAAGGTGTCAGCTGCAAGATTCGATCGTTGGCGGCTGGAGCATCATCTGGTGACTTCACAAGTCGCGATGGATGGGATTGGATTCGCTTCGCTCCGGGGCGCTTCGGCATGGCCACTCAAACTACTCAATAAGAGTGGTGCCCAGAATTGGAAAGCCCAAAAGTACCCAGCACCTTGCCCTTTAGAAGCAACAAAAATAGGATTGAAATGTTGAATGTTCCAGTTCTTGTTCTTGCTTCGAACTAGTTCCATCTTTGGATCTGAATTGCAGCAACCTTCCGGGCGATGTGACAAGCGCACAAAAAAC